CCAAGTTTCATTGAAATGTAATGCTCACTACTTATATCAAAAGCTGAAAATTAATTAATTATGCAAATTAGGTAATTATACATACTGATATTACCATAAAAACTATCAGGTCTGTGCAGTGTCATATGACATCTATGTACCAAGTTTCATTGAAATGTGATGATTAGTACTTGAGATATCAGTGGAAAAAACGAAAATTGACTAATCATTATGCAAATTAGGTAATTAGTATCCATGGATTATTACCAAAAACTAATCAAAACCTAGCATTAGTTCAGAGCATCTATGTACCAAGTTTCATCAAAATCCAATGAGTGGTTCTTTAAATATCAGTGGAACAGTCATAGAACAGCTAAAAATTAGCTAATTATCATGCAAATTAGGTAATTAACGAGCATGGATTTTTACCAAAACCTAATCAAATCTGTGCATTGGCCCAGAGCATCTATGCACCAAGTTTCATCAAAAAACGATGTATGGTTCTTAAGATAGCAGTGGAACAGTCGGACACACATACACACATACACACACTAACTGCCAAGACTCCCATTTTGTGCTTCGCACATGGGAGTCAAAAACGACAAATCACAGTTACTAAATAAATGACAGCCACATGGAAATAAATTGACATTTTGTTGAAATAGGTGAACGCATCGGGTCACGGCGAGAGCAAGTGCGTTAAAAGCGGCGTTTAATTGGATAACAAAAATAATCAAGATCGACACACATACAGATAAATTCAGAGTGGATTCAAGTTAGCTTGATCCATGGCGTGATTGTCATAATTATAACATCGTATTAAAACTTTATTTGGTGGAAACACATTGACCAAGCCCAGATTCTTATTTCATAAATTATTACGCAGATCAAGCTGCAAGCTTGGAGGTAAAAAAGAACAGAGGTGTGAATTCGACATTCAACACCAATCACCAAACAATTCAGAAACTTTTAGCCTTCGAAAATGAAAACAGTTAGCAGTGTGTAAAAGCTGTGTAATTTCCTGTTTGTCCGACGCTTCGTTTTCCTGTCACTGTCAAAATTATTGCTACCTTTTACTTAACAGGGACTAAATGGTCTCTATAAAACGATAATCAGGATCGCAAAAAAAGTCAACTGATTTGAAACACTTGCCGGACGTCTCTCTCTCTTCTGAAATCCGCCTCGGTGATCATGGGCTGGTCCGGAATCTATTTCTTTTAAAAGTGTTGCGCCAGGTTTACGTTTCTCTTTAAACCTATGGTAGTTTTTTTTTTTTTATGGACGAGGACAGTTGAATGAATCTAAGGTTGCACCTTTGGATCGATTAGAAACGTGTGAATACATACACTATGGCTATACGTTTCACTGCAACTGCCCACAACATCTAAAAACTCTCTTTCTCAAAAAAAATAAAATAGACAAAAAAAAGAAAAAACACAGACCGAAAAATGTATATCGTTTAAAAGTATACTGAACGACCAGTGTTATTACGGCTCAGGGGTATGACTTCCTCTCACATTTTGTCATTTGGTGGCCCACTTTCAGCGAGAGTCGAAAATCCGGAAACAGTCGACCGTTTCACGATAGGTGGGCGTGGCTACAACACGAGAAATATCCTAAATTTACTTGGATACGAGTAATCATTTTCAGCAAAAAAATCAATAACTACCCTTTTCAGTGGGACACAGATCTAAAATGGGAAACGTGAGGGTGGGCATTGCACAGGCACTTTAATGGATCTTTTGATAAATGTACATTTGGATTATTTAGTTTATTTCTCAAGAATTTACCAAATCAACAGCAGCCAATTAGTTTAGTTTCAAATTTGGAAAATAATGAAAGGTATCTTAGCCGACACCTTTTTTGTCCTGTCTTCGTAGTATGGCAGGGGAGATGTTTTAATAAAATAGCTGTGTCATCTTATATTCATTGTATGTTTTACAGAGACATATAGGTTCACTGCTGATGAAGGTGTTGCTGTTGCCACTTCTGTTGGCATGGTAACTGCAACTGATAAAGATGAAGGTACAAATGGTGAAGTTGTGAGCTATGCAATAATGGATGGAGACGGAACTTTTGGAATTGATGAAACCAGTGGAGAAATATCAGTGAATCGATCCTTGGACTTTGAAAATGGAGACAAAGAATTCAGATTTACTGTGGTTGCTCATGATGGAGGTTTGCCTCAGCAAAATGGGTGGGTTGAAATTTGTCAAAACATTTTCATATTTGAATATCTGATGTGAACCATCTACATTATGGTATATATGATTTGTGATGTAATTTCAAATGTTTGCTCTACAAGATAAGTTTCTAAGTTTCATTTTCAGACAAATGCATACTTAATTTCTTTCTTTCCCTTCTCCTAATATTAATAGGTCAGTTTCCATAGTAATTTCTATAAATAACACCAATGATGAAGAACCAGCTTTTAGTGTCAGTACCTATAACTTCACTGCATATGAGGTAATAAAGTACTTTGAACCGTGAATCATTTACTTAATATCTGGTTGCTGTTCATGAAGATAAAAAATTTATGGAATGGTGATTTATTTCTATCTAGTCTGCAATGGATATAAAAATTATAGAATATTTCATGTGTTTTTACTTATTTAATTTGACATACTGTTTAACAGACTGGGCAGGATGTACAGTCGCTTTCACTGTTACCTCATTTTAGGATTAAGTGTGTCTAGTTTTGTGGATTGAACATGACTTGATTGTGTGTTTGTTACTTATTTACTCTTATCTCACTAGAATTCCAGACAAGGTACTCCAGTTGGAAAAGTCGAAGCCACGGATCCTGATCATGATATTTTGTCTTATTTCATCATTACTTCTGGTAAGTCTCATCTTTATGTGTACTTTACAAACTATATATTATTATTAGACCATTTTTGAATAAAGTTTAAAAATGATCTGTCTGAGTGTATCTCAACCTGTATTTCAGACTTGCCTGAACAGATGCAATTCAACTTTTTCCACATCTTAGGATACATATGCTCATATCTGTCAGGCATTATGATTACCTTGATTGGATTCAAAATGGCTGACTGATGGCCGTTTTGTTTCCACAGCTGCTGCTCCAAAGCCATGTCTCTGACATGCTCTGAATGATTGTTTCCTCAACTTGATAAACTTTGGAACTATGCATTACAATTACTTAATATATATTTAATAAGTAATCAACTGTTTATTCATTTACATTTACAAAGTACATTCCAAGTCATACATGTGTATTATTTTTTTTAGCCTCACTATTTACTGTTGATGAGAATTCCGGCCAAATCATAGTACTAGTATCTGGTAGCTTGGATAGAGAAGTCCAAGACAGCTATAATGTAGTTGTCATAGCAACTGATGGAGTGTATTCTACATCAACTAATATAACCATAGCAATCTTAGATGAGAATGATAATTCACCAATATTTATGAAATCTGGATATTATGGAAATGTGACAGAAGATGTGGACATCGGATCGGAAATATTGCAGGTTAGAAAATTCTTTGATATTGTGTAATTATTAATGAATAGTTGTGCATCAATCAAAAATTGATCTAGTAGTATAAAGTTATAACGATATTTTTTGTCTTCAGGTTTCAGCACAAGATGAAGATGTTGGTGACAATGCCAATGTTGAGTATAGTATCCTAGCAACCAGTAGTAATGGTGATGGCATCTTTGGTATCCATAACAGCAGTGGTAGTCTGTTCATCTTGGATAATATTAATGTGGACTATGAAACCACTAAAAGTTATGTCATTGTTGTTCAAGCAACTGACCAACCAGTTGATTCTTTTAGTAGGTGAGCAGTAAAGGTTACAAATTCTGTTATTAATTACTTCTATAATTAAATAGTTTGTAATTACAAAATCTTCCAGTTTACACTTAATGTTTGTTTTACATTTCCGTTCAGGTCTTCTGTTGTGACTGTATACATTGATATAATGGATATCAATGATGTCACACCACAGTTTTCTGAGTCGTCTTACGTAGCTTATGTTAATGAAGCCGTTGCCATGGATACATCAGTTATTCAGATACAGGCTTCAGATGTTGACACTGTAGGAACACTTGTCTATAGTGTTGAAGGTAGTGATTCTTTCAAAGTTGACAATACCAGGTACTTTTTCAAAAAAAAATATATTTTTAACGGAGTATTCAACTGAGATGATAAATCACTAAGTCATCTTTGTCTTTACTATTTCATGTGGTTAGTAAATTTATTTTGAAATATTTGCACACTGTGTGGGACATCGTCTTTTTGTGGCTGCCTTTTACCTAATAAAGTCCTCTATTAAATTATTGTCTAACTTCTTTGTTTTCAGTGGTATTGTAAAAACAGTTGATTTACTTGACAGAGAAATGCAAGACATGTATGAAGTGCAGCTCAGCGTTAATGATGGAATTCATGTGAGTTTACTGACCTCAAATTCAATTCCCATCCAAATAAATAAAGTATTTGATTTTCATATTTTCACAGGTTCTTTTCAGTTAATTTATAACAAAATTCTTGATAGTACTTCCAGCAAAGATTTAAACTTTAATGAATAAATTTCTCTTGTGATGACATGGAATAATATTATAAG